AGTAAAAGAAAAGATTCTTTCATTGTTTTACAAACCCTCCCCCAGGTCCCCTCCACCATGTAGCCCTCGTTCTAGTCTCCTGTGATGACAGAAATACCCAGTTATATCTCTCTTTTAAACGGTTCTCTCCCTCCTCTGTTTCAGTGCAGTATATTTTCAAGTATGATGTCCTATTCCAATGTCACCTCTCTACAAAGGACTAGGAAAAATAGTCTGACATTTAATCTTTAAATATACATTTATATTTCATAAAAAGATTGTGAAGATAGGAGTAAAATTTTTCTTAAGATTTCATAGAAACCAGATAACATTGGTGATTGATAGAGCAATGTTAACTAATATTTCAGTTTCTTTATTAATCTCCATATACACAATATTTTATCAGGAACTCTGGTGACCAGTGAGTAAGGAGTTCTGCTATCAACACAAAGTCAAACAGTCTGAATCCACCAAATGCTCTGAAGGATAAAGATAAACAATCTCCTTCTGGTTGCTTTTTAGCCTCTGAAGTCCTGGAGAGTCAGCTATATTCCAACTTGAAGGCAATGAGAGTGAAAAACCTTTGATAGTTAGCTTGCCAACATATTTTAAAACAAAAGAGCAAAACATTAAAGAAAATAGGATATGTTTGCTATCACAGTAAAATAATGATTTCCGTTAATTATATTTGAACAGTCTGAAAGAATGATAGGTAACTTATGGAATTTATTTGGAACTAATATTCATATGGCAAACAGAATTGGAGAAAAGGCAACCAACTTAAGAGAATCATTTTTATCATTGAATGTAATTTCAGATTTTGAGTAGTTATAAGAATAGTAAAGCATGGATTTATGCCTCTCTTCATCAGAAACAAGGAAATAAAAAAATCACAGAAAAAAATGCAAAAAAAGGTATTTGCATATTTGTTTTTAGCAGCTTTACAGAGACTTAATTTATTTCAATAAATTAACTATCCTTTTGTTTTATTGAAGGATTAGAAATCATGTAATGACTTTATGTAATCATTCAAATATAATTCCTTTTATAATTTACTATCATGTAAGGTGATTAATTAAAAACAATGCTTTATCAATTTTTCATTATGTATTGCCTTTCCCTCCAACAAACTCAGAAATCTATTAATAAATTTCTACTGAGCAATAATTTAAAAGCACACTAAGCTAAAATTTTAGAGTAAGTGTCATTTTAGACTGTCTTTTTATAGGGAATTGGAAAAGGTATAAAGCACATCATCCACACTTTGCAATTCAGAAGACAAAAACTAAGAAGAGCAGAGTAAGTCAAACTTCTGCTTAAACCATCATTACTGACGAAACATGAAGGGGAAAAAAGATGGCAATGTCTCGACAGTGATGCACTTCCTACTGATGGGATTTTCTAATTTTTCACACATCCAAGGGTTTCTGTTTGGAATCTTCTCCATGATTTATATAATTATTATATTTGGAAATTCTCTAATAATAATGTTAACTAGACTTGATCCTGCATTACAGAAACCCATGTATTTTTTCCTGGCAAATTTTTCTCTTTTGGAGATGTGTTATGTGTCTGTCACTCTCCCCAGGATGCTGGTCAATCTTTGGACTCAGAATAGAAGCATTTCATTGCTGGCTTGTGCCACCCAAATGTGTTTCTTTCTCATATTGGGGACCACTGAATGTTTCCTCCTCGCTGTGATGGCTTATGACCGCTATGTGGCCATTTGCAACCCTCTGCATTATCCTCTGGTCATGAACCCAAAGATGTGTGTTCAGTTGGCAGTGGGCTCCTGGGTCATTGGAAGCCCAGTTCAGATAGGATTAACGGCTCAGATATTCTCGCTGCATTTTTGTGACTCTCACCAAATCAACCACTTCTTCTGTGACATCCCTCCCATTATCAAGCTAGCCTGTGAGAATACTTCTCGCCATGAGATGTTTGTGTTTGTGGTAGCAATGTTGTTTGCTGCAGTACCTTTTATGTTGATACTTTTCTCCTACAGTAGAATCATTTCTACCATTCTGAAGTTGCCAACTGCCTCAGGAAGGGCTAAAGGGTTCTCTACATGCTCTTCCCACTTGATTGTCGTAATTTTATTCTTTGTATCTGCTACCATCACTTATTTAAGACCCAAATCTAGCCATTCTCCAGGTACAGACAAACTTCTCTCTCTCTTCTACACCATTCTGACTCCCATGTTTAATCCCATGATATACAGCCTCAGAAACAAGGACGTTATTGCTGCACTGAGAAAATTATTGCTTAAAAAGGTGTGATGTTTTTGTTTTTTTTTCTTTTTCTTTTTGGAGGGGGGAGCGAGCTGGTGGGGAGGCGTGGGCAGGGAGAAACGTGCGTAATTAATGAATGGAAATCTAAAACCTCTGTAAATGTCTATTAAAATTAATAATAATTAAAAAAGGTGTGATGTAGTGGAAACAACATAAATTCCCATCAATAAAATGTGATGTGCACATACAATAGAATATTACTTAATTATAAGTCGGAATAAAGTCCTAATACACACCCTGGCATGGACTAATGAAAAACTTTCATGTTGATTGAAATAAGGAAGTCACATAAGAAAAAAATATTTATAATCTTACTAATATAAAACAAGAAAATATATCAAAAATAAAGATAAAAATATGTGGGCGAGAAAATGAGAGCTCTTGCTTAGGAGATATTGAGTTGGTGTTCAAAGTTGTAGATCATTTGTATTAAGGTAATGAAGATGGCTACACAAAATGAACTAAGCATTTAATGTCTTTGAATTACACATATGAATACTGTTGAATTTGTAAATGTATTGCTGTGTTATTTATTACATTATTTATCAAAGAAATGTGAGTTCAACGGTTACTGCTTTAAGTATATGTTGCAAATTTTGGGGAACAAAATGTCAATTCTCGACCTTTCCCCATTGAAATAGTGATCACTTGAACCTTGTGATAGGCTTTGAGATTCCTAAATTGAAGTTTCCTGTGCTTAAAAATATATTTGAAAATTGACCTATCTTTATTAATACACCCAAACTATAATGCTGTTGCATAAATATAAGTGTTATATGTGACTCACTTTCTCTATAAAAATTTTTGGTTTAATTAGTCTTAAAATTACACAAAATTAGTTTCTGGAATAGTTGTTTAATTCATTTTGAAGGCTTATTATGTATCAGAGAGATGGGCAAAGACTAAGGATTACAGAAGAATGTCTCTAAATAATTGTGGTGCTGAAGAAGATCATTGAATATACCGTGGATTGTCAAGAAAACAAAGAAGTCTGTAAGGGTGTAAGATCTGAAAGGGTGAAACCAATTTTCTCCTTGGACAAAGGATTTTGAAGCTCTATCTCACAGATTTTGGACCTATGGCCAGGAAGAACTTGTCCTTGGGGAATGACATCATGCTTGGAAGATTGGAGGGACAGTGCAGGAAAGGAAGACCCTACATGAGATGAATGACACAGTATCTTGTGTAATGGGGGAAAATGTGTTGGAGTCAGTGAGATTTGCTCAGGATAGGACAGAGTTCAGACCTACGAATCACAGGTGACTTGATAGTACATCACAACAGTTGTTTAAAACTTTATACTTGAATTGGATCGTCTTCTTCCCTGGTTCCATCTTATAGTTCTTGGCCAATAGTAAAGGAAAACTAGTGTTTGAAAAAAAAAAAAAAAAGAAATCATGGATCAATAGACAACTCAATAATGTTGTTAGATGTTGTTAGGTGCCATTGAAGTCCAAAAACTCATTGCAACTCTCTGAACAACTGTGAATCTTGTCCTGTCTTACACCAAACTCATCATCTTCGATGTTGTCAAGTTACTGTTATAATCAATGTCAATAGGCTTGTTAGGGACCTTCCTTTCTTCGTCTGATCCTTCACTTTTCTGAGCATGAAAAGCCCCTCCCAACAACATGTCCAAAGTGTGTGAAATAAAGTTTCACTATCCTTGCCTCTAGGAGCTCCCTGGGCCCACTTCCTCCAAGATATATTGGTTTGTTCTTTTGCGAGTCCATGTTCTACACTCATCTCCAATGCCACAACTCATTGGCATCAATTCTTCTTCTGTCATAATGAGAGAGGAAGACAAGATTGAAGTTTACAAAGAGTTTTCTTTATACTTCGATCCACAATCAACACCCATGTTAACAGCAGCCAAGAAATGAAAGTCTATTGAATCAGAGAAATCTGTTGTCAAAGATCTCTTTATATTGCTAAAGGACACGGATATCAGTTTAAAGACTAAGGTGTATGTGATCCATACCTTGGCATCTTCAATTACTTCTTGTGCATCTGAAAGTTGTAAAAAGATAACCGAAGAAAAAATAATGCCTTTGAATTGTGTGTTGGCAAAGAGTACTGAACAGATTATGAATTGCTATTAAAAACAAACAGTCTCTCTTGGATGAAGTGTCACCAGTTTGAGGCAATAGTGAAACTTTGTTTCACATATTTTGAGCATGTTGTCAGAAGGGACTAGCCCTTGGAGAAAGACATCGTATTGGAAAAGGTATAGAATCCACTCTGGAAGTTGGCTGGCTGGCTGATGTCTCAGGGGCAGTCTCGTTTTGGTGGCAGTCGGGCAAAGGAAATTTCTGGGTCCTTGTGTGTTACTGTTCTGACTAAGGGGAAAGGCTGAGGCCTGCTCAAGGGTGTGACTTTAAAATTCTGTAGGGCCAGAGGGCCACAGGCCCAAGAGCCAGATTGTTAATTTTACAAGAATATTCTTTTAAAGATACAGCAGTCATTTAACTCTTTGCTGTACTGAACAACTTGGAGTTCCTGTGATGCTGAACATTATTCCATAGTCATGTCAAATACCATAATGCTTACCCATTATGTACAGTGTTTGGATGAGCTTCCAGATTGATCCATGTTGGAAAGCAGGAGTGACATCCACTTTCTAAACTAGACGCCTCTGGAAACTCCACAAACTCTCTTATAAATGTACAGAAATGATGTTAATTATAGAACAGAGTTCAGGTCTTTTGTGCAAAGGTTACCACGCATCATATTTGACTTGACAAAACTTTACCACCGCTCAATGAGACTAGTGCTGTTCTATCTGGGGCAATATTCTTCCTCTTTGTATATCACTCTTTGTCAATGTGCTGTATGAGGTAACCTGGGTTTACTGTGATGCTGAACCTTGTGCCATGAGAATATCAAATACCATAATGTTTCCCCAATGTGGACAGTGTTTGGTGGAGCTCCCAGTTGTAAAACAGGTTGAGAAGCATGAGTGCCATCTACTTCCTAAACCGCATGCCTCTGGAAACTCTAAGAGCTTGGAGAAATTACTATAGCTTTGGAAAGGCATTAGGTCTTTGGTTCATAGAGTCACTATGAGTCGACCTGGACCCAATGACAATCAAAAACATCAACAATTGTGCCCTAATATGGGATTGTTATTATTATCTTTTTTTCCATTTAGGTCCAACTTATGGAAAGGCCATACATAGAAGAAACACTGCCTTTTTCAATGAAATTTGCAAGATTAGTAATTATTATCAGATAATTCTGATTCATAAAAAATTATTTGCTTACTTCTAATAGTAGATTTATAGGTCTTTATTCATAATGAAACTTAATCTAGAAATTGAATTATTTCCAGAATACGTATACTGTTCTGACATCAGATCTACACTGACAGAATAGTATCAGGGCTTAAAGTTCATTGATCAAGCCTTGAACTCTGAAAGCATTCTAACACTGAATCACTAATGTTTCTGCCTCATGTATAATTCTTCAAATCATGTTTTTAAAAGACCTAACATATATTTATCCCTTTTATTAACAAGTTTCTAAGTTTTGTTTTGCAATAACAATTTTGTTTTATTTGCTCTGTCTTCATTTAGCTTTTTATGATTGTGCAACAAACAGTAACTCTTAAAAATTCAAACTTTAAGAGGAAAAACATCTATAAAGGGAGCAAATCTATTAGAAATTACTTCCTGATTTCTAAACTTCTATCGTTTGCATTAATTTGCCTCATCTTTACCAGATTTACTACTTTGTAAAGTGTTTGGAGTGATCATATCGTTTAACTGGCATTATGGAGAAGACTGAGCTTAGTGACAATTACTAATGCCATCCTTTCAAATTGAGATTTTCAATCAACTAATAGAAAGTGACTCTTTAGTGTTCTGTCCAATGAGTTAGTATTTCTCCTGATGATTGTGCCATTGTGTATATTAGTTTTGATTGAACATATGATACAAGGAAGGTTTTTTTTTTCCTCTGTTATGGTTATATATTTAAATAGTCAAACTATTTTAATCTTTCATAATTTTACATCACCTTTGATGATGTTGTTGTTGTTGAGTGCCACTGAGTCTGAGGTGACTTATAGAGACCCTATGAAAGAAAGTCTTCGAGACTTGTGTGCATGACTTTCATCCTTTCTCCCAACTCACAGGGTTTCATGGAGGCAAGCTATTCACGGAAGTGGATGCCACTCCTGCTTCCAAGCTTGTTTTAACAGGGGAGTGCTACCAAACACTGTTTACCATAGGTAACCATTATCACATTTGGCACATCAGTGTCACAGGGTTCAGCTTCACAGTGACCACAACTTCCCTCTGTATGGCAAGTGGACACACCAGGGCTATACGTCCTAGAGAATGTTTGACCAACAACAATTTAAAACAATTAAAAACTTTGATGTACTATAAGAAATAGCTGCTGAACATTGTCACGATCACAAAAAAAACACATGAAGAAATTCTTAAGATTAATATCTATTGTTGTTCTTATTATATACTGGCAAGTCACCTGTGAATCATAGCAGCCCTATGTACAATAGCTCTGAAGTCTGCCCTATTCTGAACTAGTCTCTCTAACTCCAACTTATCTACTTCATTGCTCCAATTACTGTATCAGTCCATCTCATCCATGGTCTTCCACTCTGGCACTGTCCCTTCAACCTTGCAAGCATGATGTCCTTCTCCAATAACAGGTCCCGTCTGGCCATGTGCCCAAAGAATATATGACAGAGCTTCAAAATCATAACCTCCAAAGAGTAACTTGGTTCCCTCTCACCAAGAGAGACTTATTTGGTTTTTTGGAGGACCATGATATCTTAGACTTTGAAAACCACAGCTCAAAGGCTTTGCTGCTTCCTCTGTCATCCATATTCATTGACCAAATCTCTGATACATAAGCAAGTGATTGTAAAAACCATGGCCTGGATCAGGCACACGTTAGTCTCAAGACTTAAGGGATATATATGCAAATCAAAACAGCAGTGAAAGAAATAAATGGGTAAATAG